CAAGTGGCGTTGTGGCTCAAGTGGTAGAGCGCTAGCCTTGAGCTGAAGAGCTGAGGACAGTGCCCAGGCCCAGAGTTCAGGCCCCACGACCGGACCAAAAAAAAAAAAAAAATATATATATATATATATATATATATATATGTATATATATATATATTTGAGACCTAGTATCTTTAAAAAAAATTCCTTTTTCTAAGGGGGAGCACAGAAACGGTGGGACCAAGGGTTGAACCAATTCAGTGGTGATATTCACTAGACACTATGTTGGAAATGAGCTATTCAACTTGGAAGCAGGAAAACTGGGAGTGGGTAACAGTGTTCAAAAAGAAATGTACTCATTATCTGATTAATGTAACTGTAATCCTTCTGTACTTCACCTGTACAATAAATTTTTTAATTCCTTCTTTTAAGTATAGCTAAAGTTTAAAAAAAAAAATCCTCTAGGAAACATGAAGGGATGGTAAGAAATCTACATATTCTCAGCTCTGAGTTATATGCCTTTGGGGTTAAAACAGCCAGACAAATATTTAAGCCAAGAAGAAAAATACATATACTTTTAGCTAAGTGGTGAATTAGAACTAGGCCACATCTCATTTTTCTGTCCCTAAGTGCTTAATTTAGAATAAGATTTTAAAAACAATCCTCCATAGGCCAGGTCTGGCCCTTCCAGTTGGCAATCGGACATCAAACTTTTGTGACAATCTGGAACAACTGAAAATAGCTGGAGGTATTCAAGTTATCACATGGTAAGAAAGGTCAAATTTGAATTAATGCTCTTTAAGATAGAAAAAAAAAAGGATTTTATACAAGACTTAGAAAAGAAAAAAAAAAAAAGAATGACCATCAGTAACCTACTTCCCCTTCCACAGTGAAGAAAGAATTCATGTCTGTCTTGAGTCCTATCCCATGTCCTACATGATTCTTTTTGTCCTTGTCTTGCAAACAAAAGCACTGGGCTGGCACTGATGGCTCATCCCTATAATCCTAGATTCTCAGGAGGCTGAGATCTGAGGATCACAGTTTGAAGTCAGTCTGGCCAGTCAGGAAGACTCTTATCTCCAAATAATCATCAAAAAAACTGGAAGTGGAGGCTGGGAAGGTGGCTCAGTGGTAGAGCGCTTGCCTTGCATGCATGAGGCCCTGGGTTCAATTCCTCAACACCACATAAGCAGAGGAGAAAAAAAGCCGGAAGTGGCGCTGTGGCTCAAGTGGTAGTGCGGTAGCCTTGAGCTGAAGAGCTGAGGGACAGCGCCCAGGCCCAGAGTTCAGGCCCCACGACCAGACCCCCCCCCCAAAAAAAAAAAAAACTGGAAGTGGAACTGTGGCACAAGTGGTAGGGCACCAGCTTTAAGTGAAAAAAGCAAAGGGGCAGTGCCCAGGCCCTGAGTTCAAGCCCCAGTACCAACACAAAAAAATTAATATAAAGGGAGCTGGGAAGGTGGCTCAGTGATAGAGTGCTTGCCTTGCATGCATGAAGCTCTGGGTTCGATTCTTCAGCACCACATCAGCAGAAAAAACCAGAAGTGGCAATGTGGCTCAAGTGGTAGAGTGCGAGCCTTGAGCTGAAGAGCTGAGGGACAGCGCCCAGGCCCAGAGTTCAGGCCCCACGACCAGAAAAAATAAAAATAATAATGATATAAAGCACTTAGGGGCTGAGCTTTGCACTGCTTCTGGCTAACTAGACTGACTGTAAAGCCATTAATTAATCTACTTATTCTTTTCCCAAAAACCTTCGCTGCTAATCCACTCTCTACAGAAAAAAAGTCTAAATTCCTTTACTTGACATTCAAGGGCTTTCCCTTTTTATGTTCCATCATTCACTTTCCCTCTCATTATGCTTCTACTGCAATCAAAGCAGTCTCACTTTGAAGGTACAAGCATCTTCTAGCCTGGCCCTCTCTGCTAAGGCCTTTCACAGCATACCACCACACACACTCCTTCTCCACTAAATCCACCTTCTCCCCAGGAACCATTCAAGTTCTAGAACCCAAATGAGTCCTTCCCAACTGCCTCAAAATGCATAAAAGGTTTCTCCCTCTAAAGTACTGTTCCACTTAACATAATATTCTAAGCCACTTATTTGGATTTCACCAGAATCCCGTCCATCCATATTTAACTTATTTTCACGTTTTTTATGAAAATCGATACATTCCCTAATGTTAGGAACACAGTCTCATTTATCTATATATTTTATAAAACATATAACCAGGGACAATTTGTTTTAGTTGGTCATGAGGCTGTCCCTGAGCTCTTTTACTCAAGGCTGGGGGCTCTACCACTTTAAGCCAAAGCACCACTTCCAGTTTTCTGGTGATTAATTGGAGAGAAGAGTCTCACAGGGAAAAAAAAAAAAAAAAAAAAAAGTCTCACAGGGACTTTTTGCCCTGGCTGGCTTGAAACCAGGATCTTCAGATCTCAGCTTCCTGAGCTGCTATGATTACAGATATGAGCCACCAACACCCAACAAACCAGGGACAAATTAATGTTACCTGAACTTCAGCTACCAGGATGTTAAAGCACTCATGCAAGGATGCTAAACAAATAATCCATCTGTATGTCAGAAAAATCTCAGTATTTCCACATTTCCTATAAGACAATCGTCTTTTTAGTGTCTTTAATCAAAGTAAAACAAAAGAAGATCTACTGTGTTATCAAGTTAGGAAATGGTAAATACTGAAGACAAAGCTATTTACACCTGCTGAAAAGGCAGCAGTAAGTTTAATCCTAGCAAGAAGCTTTCTCTGCTTGACTCTACATAAAATATGCCTGTGCTGTATCCTGCAGTCTGGGAAAGAAAAGGATTATAAGAAAACCCATTCAAAGATTAATCAATGTTTGGGCAGAAAAAAAAAATCCTGCTGTTTTAAAAATACTAATCAATTTTCTTCTCAATGTTGTCATTACACACTGAGAATACAAAATTGGGTCGTACAAACACCATTTCACATATGCAAATGCAATTCTACATGTATTCTTCTTATTCTAGAATCAAAGAAAATGATATGAAATCATATTACCCTATAATCTGATCTTTGATCTTATGGGGGAAAAAAATCTCTTTAGAGATTTAACTACTGTATTCATTGAGTTCTACCTAGAACAGAACAGGATTCTGCCTTAATAAGCAACTTCCCAAGCTCCTTCTCTGTTTTCTTTTGTTTGTTTTGTTATGTTATGTTGTGTTCTGCTTTGTTTTGTTGTAAGACAGGGTAGTTCTCACCGTGTAGCTTATTTATGTCATCCTGGAACTCAGGACCCCCTTGCCTCAGCCTGCTGAGTGTTGGATTATAGACATGCACCACTCTACCCGGCTTATAAATTCCCTCTTAAGAAATCAGCCATCAGAAGAAGAAATAACCAGATAAAGGAAATCCTGGACCCTGGAAACCCCAATCTTAAACTCTGGCTGACTCCTAGTAGTATATGCAAATTACTAAAATGAAATTCTCCAGTTTCATTTCTTCTGTGGGGCTTACTCTTTCACAATTCAAGATTCAGGGTGCACAGTGATGAATTGTTGGTATCAACCTGACTGAATTAAGAGAAGATGCCCAGGTGGCAGATAAAATATTATTTCTGAATAAGTGTGTGAGGATGCTTGGAAAATGGTATGTGAATCAAGGAAATGAGTAAAGGCAATCTGTCTCACCCTGAAGGTATGAGCACCATATGATTGGCTAAGGCCAGACAGAACACAAATGCAAAGGAAAGGTGAGTTCCCTCTCTCTCTTCTAGAGCTGGGACATTTGTGTTCTTCTGTCCAAGACAGCAGAACTCCAAGCTCTCCTGCCTGTGGACTACTCTTGGGCTTGAACTAGCATCACCTCCTACTCACCCCACCCCGCAGACTGAGCATGGAAGCAATGCCATTCACTTCTCAGGTTCTGGAGTCTTTGGACCTGAGCAAAGCCATGCAGTTGATGTTTCTAGTTCTCCAACTGGAGAATTCTGATTAAAATCCAGTGAGCAAAAAGTCATAAGGCTTTCTTGTGTATTCAAGAACACACAGGTGTTCTCTGCAAACCAGAGTTCAACACACTGACTAGACCTGAAATACCTCAATTCATTGCATTCTTTAGACCATGCTTTGCAAGTGTTTCATCAGGTTTTCCAAAAGCCCTGCAAGGGGACCATGCTGAAGGTCCCATCCCCAGATAAAGCTGAGCCATTGCTTACCATGGGTTCCTATTGGATCCATCATTAGACAAGTAGAAAAGTCCTCTTATAAACAAATCAGTTTGCCTCCACCTAAACCAGTTTTCCCTAGCTTATCTGGAACTTTTAATATTTTCACAACTATCCTCCATCCAATATACATCTCTCATCTCTACTACTAAAGAAAAGAGCTGGGGTGTGGTAGTGCACACCTATAATCCTACCTATGAAGATTGAGCTTGGAAAAAGGCGGTTTAATGCCAGACCACGAAAAGTAACATGAGACCTAATCTGAAAAAAAAAAAAAGAAGAAGAAGAAATGACTGGGGATGTGACTCTAGTTGAGTGTTTCTAGCAAGCGAAGAGCCCAAAGTTCAATTCCCTGTTCTGAAAAAAACAATAAAAATATATTCAAAAGGCACAAGCATTCAAAATATATCTTGAAGTCACCTATCCATGACTTTAACTGATTTGCTGTAACATCTGGCCCTGAGCTGCAAATTTCAAAGTTATACAAAGAGATTTCCAATTTCACTGGGAGATTCACAAAAACCTGTTTCGAAGTACTCAACAGTCCTGACCCTGGCTTGGCAATCTGAGTCTAATCGTACTTGCTTGCTCCTAACCTGTTTTCCCTTCCAGCGACAAGGACATGCATTTATTTCCCTGACTCAACCAAAGACAGGCCTTCTTGTCAAGATCCACAGCACAGCATTTACATCTTCCTGGTCTTCTGACCCCAGCAGTAGTCAATGAAGCAAGAGTCATAAAAAAGAAAGCCATGCAATTATTTAACACTGGGACAGAATGTCATGTTCTCAGCTTTCCTGCTTTACATGGAAAACTTCACCTTGACAACAGCAAGAGCTTCAAGTCAAGGAAACTCATTAATTTGTCTTTACAAACGCATGTTACATTCTCATTACCCATATCACAGTGTCATTTTGCTTAGCTCTTTTTTGGAGGAATGTTTCTCAAAGGATAGTACATACATTAGAAGTATTGAAGCCAGAAACTCGTGGCTTATGCCTGTAATCCTAGCTACTCAGAAAGCTGAGATCTAAGGATTGTGGTTTGAAATCAGCCTGAACAAGAAAGTCCATGAGACTCTTATCTCCAATTAACCATCAAAAAGCTGAAAGTGAAGTTGTGGCTCAAGTGGTAGGAAGCTAGTCTTGAAAAAAAAAAAAGCTAAGGAACAGAAGCTAGGCCCTGAGTTGAAGTCCTAGTACCATTATAGAAGGGAGGGAAGGAGGGAGGGAGGGAAGGGAGGGAGGGAGGAAGGGAAGAGGAAAAAAAGAAAAGGAAGGATAATAAAATACCTTAAGTATATTATGTAAATTCAATTCTATTCAAATTAGACCATGATACTGGGACATTACAAAATATTACTGATAAAAAGAAAACAGAGAGGAGGAAAGCCTTTATTGCCACCAAACTCATTTTCAAACTACATCAAATACTCCCCTGTTCCCAACTCATCACTGGTTTTAATTAAAAAGTTAATCCAGATGACACATAATTGATTTTTAATCATATGGCCATGAATGAAAACCTGGGTTATCGCTGGCAACGCATGAAGCATGCTGAAAAAGAACATTCCCACATGAGTGCCAATGGCTCACATCTATAATCCTACTCAGAAGGCTGAGATGTGAGGATCACAGTTCAAAGCCAGCTGGTATAGAAAACTCCATGAGACTCTTATCTCCAATTAACTTGAGCTGTGGCTCAATGGTAAATACCAACCTTGAGGGGAAAAAAAGCCAAGCAAGAATAAAAGACCCTCAGTTCAAGCCAAAGAACTTAACACACACACACACACACACACACACACACACACACACAATCATCCCACATTAAACCCTCTGCGGTGCTGTCCAAGGTGGGTACCACTGCAATCACTACTATTCAGCCAAGTTCCATCCTCAGCAGTTAACAGTATTCCTAGCATGGAAGGAATTCAGCAAATGCTGAATTATAATTCATGCAAAAGTGGGCAATTAGAAAGCTCCTTTAATTAGTTCTTAAATACTCCATAGGTCTACTATTGCTATAATCATGCACGCTTACAAGTAGCAGACTTAAAAGCTATTTTTAAACTATTTAGATTAGCCTTAAAAATGCAGGAGAAAATAAAACTTCAAGAGTCACAGGGTTGGGAGGAATGGAGGAGGAACATGAAAGGTATGATATCAATCAAGATGTACCATACATGTTGAATGGTAACCCATGCATACAACTACTTAAAGACAATTTTTAAATCACCAACCAAAATATTTTTAAGGAAATAAAAAGGTTTGAATACAGTTTCTGGGTCTTAATGTTTCCTACTATAACACAAACTATAGACTAATGACAAATTGATAAACTGATACCTACATGGTTTCATATAAATAACCAAAATATTAACCATTATAATTGAAGTCCTTAGAATCTGATGTTTAAAGCAACAAAGTATAATTATGATTTCACTTGTTTCTCTTCTGTGTGTGTCCCAATTCTCTGAACTATAGACGACTACAAACTATATCCTTAGGGTCAGGTTTAAATACTCCAGTTTACAAATGGCTTCTCTTCATTGTATTCCTCTACCTCAAAGCTTATGCCTCTACTAAGAAAATGTATATCATTTTTCTTTATGATGTAGTAGTAAACCAGACAGTTAAAAACTTAGGGTCGGACTGGGAAGGTGGCTCAGTGGTAGAGTGCTTGCCTTGCATGCCTGAGGCCCTGGGTTCGATTCCTCAGCACCACGTAAGCAAAAAGAAAAAAAAAGCCGAAAGTGGCGCTGTGGCTCAAGTGGTAGAGTGCTAGCCTTGAGCTGAAGAGCTGAGGGACAGCGCCCAGGCCCAGAGTTCACGCCCCACAACCGGACCCAAAAAAAAATAAAAATAAAAGTAAAAACTTAGGGTCACCCTTTCTTTGTGCAATTATTAGGTGGTTAAATGAGCTAACACATGAGGCATAAAGACTCTGGCTCAGAGTTGGCATTTAGTAACAGCAGCTGTGATGGTGACTTTATAGATGTTGAAAATGATGATGACAACAACAGAACATTCTTTGGTTTTGTTTTAAACCAAGCTAAAAATCATTGTACCAAAATAAATGCCTAAGCAGAGAACAAAGCAGCTCACAAAGCCAAGATTTATCATGCCAGGCTTTGGAGATCTCTGCTTGTTTTCTCAACAGCACTGAGGAGTCCAGGCCTGTTTATGCGACAGACCAGGCCTGAGGAGCAGCTGCCAGGTTGTACCGTTACAGACTGAGGTGCACCGAGTGTGAAGGACACACTAATGCAGTGGGGGACAGAGTAGGAAAGGCATGCCAGTGGACCGAAGCTAGGCATTTTGCTCTCTGGAATGAACTGGAAAATATCTATATATTCATCCTCCACCACTGATAAACCAAAGCTGCTGCTCTCTTAATAACTCTGCTTCCCCAACCCCTCCTAGACTCAATCATCTCTTTGCCGGCTGACAAGAAGAACTGACAGTTTACAAATGAAATCCTGTTCCATTCTGTCTACCTGCAGAGTGAGAAGGGAGTTAGTGAGGCAGGAAGGAAACAGAAGGCTCCAGAAAGGGAAAACTAAGCCTTTTTTTTAAGAAGCTGGAAAAAAAGTAAACTGTATCTGATGTCTGCTCATGAGAGAAAAAAACCTCCCTTTGGTAGAGATTGTCTACAAGCTTACTTAACCGAAGTTTTGCTTTGTTTTTACTCAAAGGAATATGAAGTACTGGTGGTTCACACTTGTAATCCTAGGTACTCAGGAGGCTGAGCTATGAGGATTGTGGTTCAAAGTCAGCCTAGCAGAAAAGTCCATGAGACTTGGTTCTAATTAACCACCATAAAGCCAAAAGTGGAGGTGTGGCTTAAGTGGTAGACCACAAACCTTGAGTAAAAAAGCTAAGGGACAGCACCTAGGATCTGAATTTAAACAGAAGAGAAATAGAGGGAAGAGGAGAAAGAAGAGGCGGGGGAGGAAGAGGAAGAGGGAGGAGGAGGAGGAAAAGGAGGAGGAGGAGGAGGAGATCAGAAGGATTATTATTAATCTATCTGAAGAAGCCTCTTTAAACATTAAAAAAAAAAGTTGGAAGCCACCCAATGACATGAATAAACGGAAAAAGGAATGGTGGACGAATACAATCCCAAGTACTCACTGTAGATAGGTGAAGGGAGAAGAAGGAAGAAAAGAATGACACTATTAAGATGTATTGTACCCATAAATGGATACCTTCAACTGAAACCCACTTGCACAATTATTTGAAAATAATAATAGTAAAAGAGGAAAGATTTAAGCCGGAAACTGATTTGGAGAAACTGGCCATATATTTTATATGTAAAATTCTATTACTTCCCTAACAATCTCAACCACATCTCCTCCTAAATGAGAAAGGAAAGCAGCCCAGAACAAAGGATTTCAGAAAGAACAAAGTATTCCTAGTGAGAAAACAGGTTAGGCCTGCCCTGAAACTTACTTTATTACTCACAAATCCATCATTGTTCCTTTATATTTCCTTTTCCTTTTCTTTTCCCTTTCTTTTCTCTCCTTGGCTCTATTCACTACTAATGTCAGCACATGTAAGTTTTTTAAAACCATGATGTATTTGTTCAATTATCTGTAGACCTACAGCCTCTTCATCAAATTAGCTGTTCGCTATTTATAGCTGATACTCTGTCCAGACGATCTAATGAAAATTCCTGGGAGTGATAAAACTAAGTCACATTTTCCAGTGCTGTTTCCCACCTAAGGACTGTTGCAATTATCCAATAAACCTGTTTCAATAAGTGTTGTAAATATACATTATCTTTTTTAAAGATTACTAGAAATATATATATATATATATATATATATATTTTTTTTTTTTTTTTTTTTTTTTGGTTCCGGTCGTGGGGCCTGAACTCTGGGTCTGGGCACTGTCCCTCAGCTCTTCAGCTCAAGGCTAGCACTCTACCACTAAGCCACCTTCCCAGCCCTAGAAATAATTTTTTTAATACCCAGACTGAGTGGTGTGAGAAGATAACATTTCCACAATTTGTTTCCCAACTCTTCCCAATACTACATTACCTGAAAAAAAAAAGATTAACTCTAAGACATAATAAATTTAAACAGACTTTGAATAATGATTATATCAGAGTAGGAATTCATACCTCGGAAGTATATCACACCAAGTGTGCTGATATTTTTTTAGCAATTAATATGCGAAACTGCCAGAGAAATTTCATCCGTAACGCAATACTCAAGTGTAACTTCTCTGTTGATATTAATACATCTTCATATGCATGAATTATACAAAACAGCAGTTCATTTATTATACTCAATTTGCCAATAGTTTTGATGGCCCCAAGATATTAAAAAATATAATAAAAAAGAAAAGTAAAACAAATAGTATCATTAAAGCAGGTCTAGAAAAGACATCAAACTATACTCTGAGCCATGATCTAAATCGTATGTTAAAACCAAGCTACTATTCATCATGTTCTTTTAACAATTAATATCTGAATACCCAAATGCCAGTGGATTCAAAAGAGAATGCATTCAAATGAGGGAAGAGAGGCCAACTAAGAGGGCAATACTAACTAGCATCCTCTTGCAGGAAGTGCCACAGATCTAGGCAGAAAGTGGTCCAACTGAGGGGTACCAGTGACTCACCCCTGTAATCCTACTACTCAAGAGGCTGAGATCTGAGGATCACAGTTTGAAGCCAGCCCAACAGAAAAGCCAGTTAGATTCCTACATCTAATTAGCCAGCAAAAAGACAGAAGTGGAGATATAGCTCAGCACCCAGGCCCTGAGTGCCCTAATACTGGCACCAAAAACAAACAAACCACACACACACACACACACACACACACACACACACACACACAAACACACAAATCAAAGCAGAAAGGCAAGTTCTCACCTACAAAACTGAAAGCTGGTCTCCCTAACCATTAAAAAGAATGAAAAGGAATGATAATTCCAATTCTTATTGTAGGAGCTGCTACATCTACCCTAAAGTAGTTTCTGGGCATGGATGTTGAGTGTTCACGCATATCAACCAAAGCCTTTATGCATTTCTCTCCAGATGGTAAAATGACTCCACACCACTAATGGCTGCAAAGGAGCATCAGATCTGACACTCAACAGTCAAGTACTCTTATCTTCCTTCTCATCTTGTATTCTATTGACTCAATACAAGGCAAATAACCAAGACAGTTAAACCTTAGGTAAGAGTGCTACTCTAGGAGTCTTGGGACAGATTACTTTCTTCTTTAATGGATCCTATAGCATACCATATGGGGAAAGTAACAGTACTTGCCTGGTAAGGTCAGAAGATGCAAGCTGTGTGAGCTAACTTGGCAAAGTCCCACATACGGTAAGCAATCAATACAAGCTAATGTTACTGTTGCCAGCATTTTAGGTTATACTATAAAAGCAAATTACTAAATACTGACAATTTTATATGGTTCAACCTAAAATTTCTATCAATCATCTTCTTGAACAATTAATTCCAACAGTTTTTTTTTTTTTTTGGGGGGGGGGGGGTGGGTCCAGTCGTGGGGCCTGAACTCTGGGCCTGGGCACTGGCCCTCAGCTCTTCAGCACAAGGCTAGTGCTCTACCACTTGAGCCACAGCGCCACTTCCGGCTTTTTTCTTTTTGTTTATGTGGTGCTGAGGAATCAAACCCAGGGCCTCATGCATGCAAAGCAAGCGCTCTACCACTGAGCCACCTTCCCAGCCCATCCAACAGTTTTAGTAAGAATATTATGCCAGGGACCAGTGGCATCTGCCTGTAATTCTGACTACTTGGGAAGCTGACACCCACAGGATTCCAACCCATGACCTTTCATTTCACTCATAAAGGAATTTCTTGCCCTAATCAACACTAACAGCACCAAAACATCAACCTCATGATTTAGTACTCTACGAAGTAGTCAATCTTGGTTTGGACTATAACAAAGTATGATAGAACTACTGGCTTATAACAGTGGAAATGTATTTCTCCTAGTTCTAGAGAATAGAAGACTAAGGGTAGGATACAAGCATGGTAGATTTAGTTAGATCCTCTTCTGGGTTTCAGACTGTCAATATCTCATTGTCCTCATACCTGGCAGAAAGAAATCTAAGTAGACTCAGACTTCATCTGAAAAGGCATTGATCCTATTCATGGAGGTACCACCTTCAGTACCTACCTACCTACCAAAGGCCCAACCTCCAAATTTCATTGCATTAGCAATCAAAATATATTCAGTTGATGGAGGGAGGAAGGGTGAGAAAATACAGTCATTATATTCAATGTACAGTATGTGAAACTTGAACTACCTGAGGGGAAGGATGGGACAGGGAAAGATGGGGAAGAATGATGGAAAGGCTGACATGAATTCAAGAGGCTTTGTATTTATTTATTTATTTATGCTCTTAATATATATTTTTTTAATGTAAAGATGCTTTGTATTTTAACATGACTTTTGGAACTGAAACTCTTTGGTATAACCACTGAATAATTTTTTAAAAATATGATCATTTTCATGTTGCACTAGTATACTACAAATCAACTGTGTGTGTGTGTGTATGTGTGTGTGTGTACACAAGTACTGGGGCTTGAACTCAGGATCCTGTGCATTCAATCAGCTTTTTTGCACATATCTAGAGCCATACCTCCAGTTCCAGATTATTGCTAGCTAACTGAAGGTAAGAGCCTTGAGGATGTATCTGCTCTAGGATGGCTTTGAACCTCAATCCTAAGATCTCTGCCTCCTGAATGGCTAGGATTTTAGGCATGACCCACTGAGTCTCACTACTCTGTCTATAATGAAGGAGAACATTAAGAAAACTGAAAAGTAGGTAAGTAGAGAAAGTGAACAACATTAACCAATTTCATGTAAATGAGAAAGTCTCTGAATTTCATCTTCATCTTACTAGCAATCTTCCAGGAGTCCAGGCAGTGCCTTTACAAATTATGCACACTAATTTATGTAAAGCAAGCATCTCTCCTTTTTCTCTTGAGATAACAGAAGAGCATTCCATCCTATTTTTGAATTGTGACTTTCTTTACTTTGTCTCCTGATTGACTTTTTATATTCCTTTGTCTCATAGTTTTTATACATTTTCCTCTTTTGATTTCAATTTCTTTCCATTAACTCTAACCCTTTTTTAAAAAAAATCTTCCTTTTAAACAGTTTTTTTCAACTTTCCTTAGTTTTCTTTTTGTGTGTGTGTGCTGGTTTGAACCTAGGGTTTCATGCTCTCCCTTATATTTTTCCACTAAAGGCTAGCATTCAACCGCTTGAACCACATCGCCACTTCTGGCTTTTTGGTGGTTAATTGGATAAGAGACTCATGGACTTTTGTTTGGGCTGGCTTCAAACTTTGATCCTCAGATCTCAGCTTCCCAAGTAGCTAGGATCACAGGCATGAGCCACTAACACCTTGCTCAGAATTTTACTATTTTTTAACATTAGAATTCTCATTTTCTAGGCTCCTACAAAGTACAAAGCATAGAGTCTCAGCCATCCTGAGAAAGCTGAGGTCTGGAGAAAGTCACAGATCAATCCCCACCCTTTCCACTCCACCCCTTGCTCTGGTCACAAAGGGAACAATTTAGAATGCTGAAACTCACAGAGAAAAAAAAATGAAAGATTTCATTCCTAATAAATTAGAACAGGAGTTGGCAAATGTTTCTGTCAAGAACCAGATAGTGAATATTCTGGATGTTTTTGTTGCCAGTCCTGGAGCTTGAACTCAGGGCCAGGGTGCTGTCCCTGGTCTCTGTGCTCAAGGCTAGCACTCTATTACTTAAGCCACAGTGTCACTTCCAGAGTCTCACAGACTTTCTTGCCAGGACTGGCTTTGAACCACAATCCTCAGATCTCAGCCTCCTTAGTAGCTAGGATTACAAGCGTGACCCACTGGCACCCGGCTTATTCTGGAATTTTTTTTTTTTTTTTTTGGGTCCGGTGGTGAGGCCTGAACTCTGGGCCTGGGCACTGTCCCTCAGCTCTTCAGCTCAAGGCTAGCGCTCTACCACTTGAGCCACAGCGCCACTTCTGGCTTTTTTCTTTTTGCTTATGTGGTGCTGAGAAATCGAACCCAGGGCCTCAGGAATGCAAGGCAAGCGCTCTACCACTGAGCCATCTTCCCAGCCCTATTCTGGAATTTTTAAGTCATCTAAATTTCTGTTGAACATTTTTTTTCCTTCATTTTTTTCTTACCCTTTAAATACATACAAATTGTTCTTAGCACATAAGGCTGTACAAAACCTGGCCATTGGCCATAGTTTTCTGACACCTGTGTTAGAAAACACAGCCCAAATGAGGCTCAAGGATTCTTATTTGATGAAGCCAGATATTGGTGGCTCACGCCCATAATACTAGCTACTCAGGAGGCTAAGATCTGGTACCACAGTTCAAAACCAGTAAGGGCAGGAAAGTCTATGAGACTCTTATCTCCAACTAACCACCAAAAAGCTAGAAATGGATCTGTGACTCAAGTGATAGGGCGCCAGACTTCAAAAAAAAAACAAATCAAAGCATGAGGCCTTGAGTTCGGTACCAGCACCAAAAATGAAAAAATAAAAAGGATTCTGATTTGATGAGAACTGTAGTGCTGATTCAATGTCTTGATTTACCAAAAACAAACAAACAAAACTTTCCATTTCAGGACTGGAAGAACAGAAAGCAAGTGAAAAGGACCAAAATTCCACTAGCCACCTCATGTGCATTCCATTATTAAGGGTAAGGAACAGTAGCCCCTAAATCAGACCCCTTAATTAGAACAGATTTAGAAGCCGTCAGACATTATATTTCATGTATTTCCTCTATTTCCATCCTTTGCAAATGCCAACTTCAGCAATAATCTGTCACTGAAAAATCAACGCTTTCCTCAATCTAATCAAAACTGACTATTTCAGAGGGCAATAGCACACCAAACAGAAACCAGGAGAGATTTAAGCTGACCAAAGGCCTCTGGGGTTCTATTATTTGAAATTATAGAAAATATTTTCCATTTGCTTTATAAAACTTGTAAAACAGGCTGTGTGTTTATGTGGGTGTGGGTGTGCACACCAGTATCAGACCCTGCCCTCAGGGCGTGAAGCTGTCCCTTAGCTTGTTTGGTCAAGGCTGGTGCTTTCCTATGTCCTGCTTTTTGGTACTTAAGTGCAAATGGAAGTCTTATGGACTTTCTCCTGTCTGGGCTGGCTTTGAACCATGATCTTCATATCTCAGCCTCCACAATAGCCACGATAACAGGGGTAGGCCCCCACAGCTGGCCTAAAACAGGCTTTTGAACACTCTCTGAAACTTAGGACTATCAAGTCAACCTAACAGATGTTACATACTCGATGTAGTTCATCCATTCTATAGTGCATAATGGGATATATTTTAAATGACATTCAGATTTTGTTCTACAAGGCAAAATGATCTACAATATATGATCATCTTAGTTTCCTCTTTAGATGTTATGTCATGGACGGCCATGTCAATTGGCTGACTAATTTCTCTCTGCCTTAGCCGAGGTAAAGCCAGTTCTAAGTGTCTCCGGTCATGCTGAGCTGTTTGGTACCTACAGAGTGGAAAAAGAAAATGGCCTCTAGGGAGCAATTTAATAGTGACAAATGCTATTTTCATTGCTGGGCGAAATAAATTGGAAACAGCAGAAGGTAGATGCCAAAGGCCGGCTACACATGGAACCAAATGACCCATGTAGGTCAATACATGGGGACTTATTGTATTCACAAGAACATGGAGAAAAGGGACAGACTAAGAGCAATAAAAGCAGCTCCAAGTCAGGCATCGGCAGCTCACACCTGTAATCCTAGCTACTCAGGAGGCTGAGAACTGAGGGTCATGGTTGGATGCCACCAGAAGTGGCACTGTGGCTCAAAGTGGTAGACCGTTAGCCTTCAGCAAAAAAAACTCAGGGACAGAGCCCAGGCCCTAAGTTCAAGCCCCAGGACTGACCCAAAAACAAAAAGCAGCTCCATTTTTAGTCATCACCCCTGTGTCCAATGTTATAATCCCTTTTGAGGAAATTCTAGACAGTCAAGAAGCCCTGGCCCAAGACCTACCATACATCAAAGAGAGTGGATTAAGCGACCCAAAGCAAAAACAATTACAGAGGTGTGGTCTAAGCAAGGAAAGTGCCTTCCTGTATAAGAAGGGCATGGCTATTTCAGTCCTGATATCACATGCCAAGCAGACAAGGCAGAAGAGCTCTACAATCCTAGATACTCGGGAGGCTGAGACTTGAGGACCGAGGGTCAAAGCTAGCTTAGCCAGATAACCTGAGATTCTTTTTATTTTTTTTTGGTCTGGTCCTGGGGCCTGGGCGCTGTCCCTCAGCTCTTCAGCTCAAAGCTAGAGCTCTACCACTTGAGCACAGCGCTACTTCTGGCTTTTTTCTTTTTGCTTATGTGGTGCTGAGGAATCGAACCCAGGGCCTCATGCATGCAAGGCAAGCGCTCTACCACTGAGCCACCTTCCCAGCCCCAACCTGAGATTCTTATTTCCAATTAAGCAGCAGAAAGCAGAAAGAGAGGGTAGAGAGAGGAAGGAAGGAAGGAAGGAAGGAAGGAAGGAAGGAAGGAAGGAAGGAAGGAAGGTGCTGGTGGCTCATGCTGTAATCCTAGCTACTCAGGAGGCTGAGATCTGAGGATCGCAGTTCAAAGCCAGCAGGGGCAGGAAAGTCTGTGAGACTCTAATCTCCAATTAACCACCAGAAAACTGGAAGTGGTACTGTGGCTCAAGTAGTAGAGTGCTTGCCTTGAGCTGAAGAGCTGAAGGACAGTGCTCAGGCCCAGAGTTCAAGCCCCAAGACCAACAAAAAAAAAAGGGGTGGGAGAGGGAGAAAGATGTAAGGGAGAAAGGAAGATAGAAGAACAAAAAGACATGAATTTCTACTCAGGGCCTGGAAGCATACTAGAGATTTTACATATGGCATATCTGTAATCATTACAAACTTATAAGATGTGAAATAGCATACCCACTTTACAGGTAAAAAAATAAGGCTCAGAGAAAAAATTTGCCAAAATCATACGAACAAGAAGTACCAGAGTAGCATGTGAATTTGGTCTGCTTTGAATCAAACCTGCCTTTCACTCCACCTCAGACTTATTCTCCAAAGAAGAAGCACCAATATACAGCACAGAGCAGCCAACATTCAGGAGTGGGAGAGGCAGAAGGGCTCTCAGCTGAAAGCCAGGACACTGTACTAGCCCCCTGGAAAGTACAAGCCAGAACTCGGATGTCAGCTTCTCAAGAGCAACCATTGTCCCAAAGTCCACTTCCAAGATCAATAATACAATGCTAGAAATACAATGCTAAAAACCAGGGCCTAAGGTAGGGGCCAGGGAGAGCTAAGATAACCACGAAGGAGTCTAAGAGGTTACCTGTCTGGAAAGGTAACTTGGATTCTACCAGATAAAGGGTTGAAGCTGTTTACTTTTGTCCAGATTGGCCCAGGAACTGAAGTTGAGCCAGCTTCCGGGTGAGAAATGCAAAGTGGGAAAGGAGAGAATAAAGGCAGAGGCTTGAGACAGAGATCAGACATTTTCACTTCAAGGCCATGGAAAAGACACCCAACGTTTCCTTGTCATTTCTTCAACCAAACTGTCATCATGTAATGCCAATGACCTTCACAGAAGGTCAAGTCTCCACAATCAAAAGAACAGACAGAATCAGAATAATATTCCAAGTAACTCAAGAAGAGGAAGAAGAAAAGTAGTTTCCCAGAATTAAATCAGAACTTTTTATTTCCAAACAGGAGTCTCAAGTTGGCAGATCTGAGCCTGGGAGAAGATTCTGGGAGGAGCATGGGTGCCAGGCATGCTGACATTAGCAGCTGCCATCCTTCTATCTCTTCCTGCCAGCACTCTCAACCCCTTCTTTACTCTAGTCATCTGATCAAATGTCTGAAGCCAACTTCCTGATCATGTAAGGGGGAAGGGAAGGAGGCCTGCAGCGGGAGCCAGGAGCAGAAAAGCAGATGTCCAGGAAGGTAGAATGGCGCACTGACATCCTCCAGAAAGGAGCTTTTTGACAGATAGGAAGAGAAAGGGGAGCCAGAATTCAAGGTCCAACCTCTGATTCACCCAGCTGTAAAGACAGAGCCAGCTGAGTGCATTCAGCCGACTGATTAATGGAGTCCTTTCCACATTCAGTGACAGAAGCCACTGTTTCCAGGCACATAATTATCGTGGATGTTCTCAGGTACCCGAAAAGGTGACAGCAAGGACTGGTACAGGTTCAGGTCTGGTTCTTCTGGGCTGACTAGTTCTCCCTCCAGGTTAAGTGTGCCACCATTCCAAGCCGGACAATGAACTAACTAGCCACTGGCTCATCTGCCGTGTGAATGACA